GCATCCTCAAGCAAAAGATATATGAGGATGGAAGGCAGTTTACATCCAAACAGCAGCTCTGGGAGGCAATTCTGACATCTTGCAAACAAATTCAAGCAGAAACTGTCCAAAAACTCACAAGTTCAATGGATGCAAGACTTGTGAAGCTGCTATCAAATAAGGGGTCCTATGTTAAAATGTAACGTGACCTGTTAAAATGTTTAAACAGTTAAAATGTTGTTATAAGTTTGATTGAAATAGCTTTTGATTTCAGTAAATATGCTGCAAACACAACAAATGACAATTTTCAGTTCTTTACAACCTATAAAGTGTTTTGAAATTTACTGTGCGTAATAATTTGGAACAGTGCATTTTTTATGTTTAAAAAAAATACTGTTATCATTAGGAGGTTTGTTCAATAAAATTTTAATTGTCCTCTTAATAGTTGATAACATGAGAATTATGCTGATTGACTTCTGTTGGGACATGGTGCAGGCGCATTTGGTGAAAATCAATCACGGCCCCTGGCTTGCGGCTGCACATGGTCGCACCCGATCGGTGCGATCAGACTGACAGGTTTAAGAGCTTACCTGTTCAGCAACAAGCCGGAAGCCGACCCGCTGGGGTGTCTGTCCCCTTTACACGTGGGATCCAAAATGGCACCGACCACGAGGTCACAGCCATTTGTAGCTGCTCCTCCAAAGGTCAGGCAAACCTTCTGATTTTTTAGACACTGACATTCCTGCTTTAGACATCCATTTGGCCTCTATCCATGGCACTTGGGCTTCGGTACACAAAGTGTTACAATCGGTCTCCAGACATACAAAAGTTCAGGCAGTAAGCGGCATGGTGCCAATCCTGTCTATCAAGTTGGGGACAGGGTCTGGCTTTCCATGCGTCATATCAAATTGAAAGTACCTTCCACGAAACTGGCTCCTCGCTTTATAGATCCTTTCTGAGTGTTTAGGCGCATTAATCCTGTGTCATACTCTCTCACCCTTCCTGCACATTTGCGGATATCGAACACATTCCATGTGTCTTTTTTGAAACCGCTTACTTGCAACCGGTACACTAAGCAGTTCGTACCTCCCCCACCTCCAATTCCTCCTGTTGGAGGCCAGGAGGAATTCAAGGTCCATTCTATACTGGATTCCAAGGTGCATTGGAAAGGTTATGGACCGGTGTAACACTCTTGGATCGCTGCTGATACAGTCCACGCTCCTCATCTTGTCTGGTCATTCCACAACCGGTTTCCTAACAAGCCTGCTCCTTCCCACCCGGTGGGCAGTCTTTGAGTGGGGGGTACTGTCAAAGCCCCCAGCTCGCAGCTGCACGTGGTTGCACATGCTCAGTGCAACCACACTGACAGGTTTAAGAGATAACCTGTTCAGCAGCAAGCCAGGAGCCAACCCGCTGGGGCGTCCATCCCTTCACACGTGGGATCCAAAATGGCGCTGACCACGAGGTCGCGTCCATTTGTAACTGCGCCTCCAAAGGTAACGCGAACGTCACGACCCACACACACTTTCTGGTGTCAGAGCACAATCCCTGACCAATCACAGCCCAAGGAGGGATATTTAAACCCCTGAATTTCCCTGGTTCATTGCCCTCTCATGGTTTCCGTTCCTGGTTACGTTCCTGGTTCTGTCTATTTTTCTATTCTATGTAGATGTTACATAGTTTTGCATGTTGGATCACATTAGTAGTCGTGACACTATCCAGGCACAACAGATAACTGCTGGAGGTGCAGTATCACACATGGTGGACGTTCACTCATCTCCGTCACTTTTGGACAATGGTCAAAAACACACTATGAGAAATACTACATGTACCCTTCACACTGAAACCAGAAATGGCTCTATTTCTTAACCTGGAGGGCTTCCCCAGAGGTGATGCCATACTAATATATCATATGCTTATAGCCGCCCTCACACTCCTAGCCAGAGCTTGGAAATCCATAGGTGTTCTCTCTAAACAAACCCTGCTACACCAGGTGATAGTTAACCTGGACTATGAGAACATAGATAGAAAACAACTCAAAGTCTCACCACATCATACAAACTTGTATAGACAAACTTGACACATACATAAAAACGTTGCCACCGAGCATGATATTGACTTAATCAGGTAATACACCAATTGAATAAGAGAAAAAAATAAAATATATAAATCACCAGACAGTCACCGTTCTAGGCACTCATAGCCCTATGGACAGAAGTATTTTATGAATACTAGCATTTACACAGATATATCTTTTCACACAAAACTACACGTGTAGTGGAGACCAATCAAGGCATTCACAGGCCTAACCCTGTACAAATGAAGACTTACAATGATAGTTAAAAACACTAAACCAGCACACCAGACTCCCTAGAAATGTCATCCCACCATTACCCACCAACTGTTAATAGTTTCTACTTGTATGTAGTCTTAAAATGCACAGCAGAGCAAACAGAGTTTACAACATCACTAGCGGGAGAGAAAAATCCATGCTACAAACCTAGTATGATAACCCCAAACGGATCTTTGGGTTCTCTTCCCTTTTGAGACACAACAAAACCAACTCTCTTAAATGATGCAGACCGTACAAACGAGGCACCATTAAAGGGACACTCCAGGCACCCAGACCACTTCTGCCCATTGGAGTGGTCTGGTGCTAACTCCCACTACCCTTAACCCTGCAAGTGTAATTATTGCAGTTTTCATAAACTGCAATAATTATATTGCAGGGTTAACTCCTCCTCTAGTGGCTGTCTACTAGACAGCCACTAGTGGGCACTTCCGGGATTCTAGCACAGGTGTTCTGTGCTATAGCATTGCTGGACATCCTCACGCTGTGTGAGTACCTCCAGCGTCACTAAAATCCCTATAGGAAAGCATTGGAAGCATTTTCAATGCTTTCCTATGGAGAGGTCTAATGAATTAGGTCTCCCCCGCCGGATGACGTGTTGACAGGGAGGAGCATGGGCGGACCTAGAAGCAGCACCGAGGGATATCGGCGCTGCCTCAGGTAAGTCACTGAAGGGGTTTTGACCACTTCAGCAACCGGGGATGGGAGGTGGGAGGGAGAGGGGACCTGCAGTGCCAGGAAAACAATTTATCTTCCAGGCACTGGAGAGTCCCTTTAACCAACATGTCTCGATGTAATTGGGCCAGATTGAGAGACTCTGGTATGGGTGTTGTGGCTGCCCAGCTGCCTACCTGTTCTAATACATACACGCTAGAGACCAAGCTCCCATATATTCTAAATACAATAAATGTCCAAAATGGAGAAAAACCCAGAGGGTCATAGTATGGAGCAAACGCACCTGGGAGGCAGCAGCAAGGACAGAGACTGTAGGAGGGGCTTCTTATGGTTTTAACCAGTTAACGCCGTTAGGGCGTTCTATGCTGTCCCCATTATAATGGGCTTTAAAGCTGTTACGACGGCGTAGAACACCCTAACACCTAGTTGAAGAGCCAACTCGTAAAGAGGCCATACTAGATTTAGTGTTAACAAATGGAGATTTGGTATCAGATATTACTGTAGGTGAAAGTTTAGGATCCAGTGATCATCAGTCAGTGTGGTTTAATATAAGAACAGTGACTGAGTCACACCACACAAAAACAAAAGTCTTAGACTTTAGAAAAACAGACTTTTCTAAAATTAAAATATGTGTAGAGGAGTCATTATCAGACTGGAGCAATTTAAATGGAGTCCAAGTGAAATAGGATTATTTAAAAGTTGCACTATTGAAGGCAACAGAAAATAACATTAGGCTTGTCAGTAAAAGCAAAAAATTCAAGAAACCACTGTGGTACTCCGCAGATGTGGCCAAAATAGTTAAAACAAAAAGTTAGCATTTAGTAATTATAAAAAAAAACAGAGCGAGGAAGACAAAATGATCTATAAGATTAGGCAGAAAGAGGCTAAGCAAGATACATAAATGAGAAAATAAAAGTAAAACAAGGATTAGTTAGATTAAAAACAAAAGAAGGAAGGTATGTAGAAGAGGATAAAGGTCTAGCTGACTGCCTCAATGAATATTTTTGTTCTGTATTTACAGATGAAAATGAAGGAAAGGGACCTCAGTTGAGAAAAAGGATAAATGAGTCATTTATTACACGTGAGTTTACAGAGGAAGAGGTTCTATTTCAACTGTCAAAAGTAAAGACAAATAAGTCAATGGGACCTGATGGAATACACCCAAAGCTATTAAAAGAGCTTAGTGGTGTACTAGCAAAACCATTAACAGATTTATTTAACCAATCATTGTTAACAGGAGTAGTCCCAGAAGATTGGAAGTTGGCAAATGTTGTGCCCATTTACAAGAAAGGTAATAGGGAGGAGTCGGGCAACTATAGGCCAGTAAGCCTTACTTCAGTAGTGGGGAAAGTGATGGAAACCATGTTAAAGGATAGGATTGTTGAACATCTAAAAACACATGGATTTCAAGATCAGAGACAACATGGGTTTACTTCAGGGAGATCATGCCAAACTAATCTTATTGATTTTTGATTGGGTAACTAAAATTATAGATCAGGGTGGTGCAGTAGACATTGCTTACCTAGATTTCAGTAAGGCTTTTGACACTGTTGCACATAGAAGGCTTATCAATAAACTGCAATCTTTAAGTTTGGATTCCAATATTGTTGAATGGGTAAGGCAGTGGCTGAGTGACAGGCAACAGAGGGTTGTAAGTTAATGGAATATATTGAAGCTTGGACTTGTCACCAGTGGGGTACCTCAGGGATCTGTACTTGGACCCATTCTCTTTAATATTTTTATTAGTGATATTGCAGAAGATCTTGATGGTAAGGTATGTCTTTTTGCTGATGATACTAAGATATGTAACAGGGTTGATGTTCCAGGAGGGATAAGCCAAATGGCAAATGATTTAGGTAAACTAGAAAAATGGTCAGAATTGTGGCAACTGACATTTAATGTGGATAAGTGCAAGATAATGCATCTTGGACGTAAAAACCCAAGGGCAGAGTACAGAATATTTGATAGAGTCCTAACCTCAACATATGAGGAAAGT